ATGGGTTGTGAACAATGCCAGTGCTGTTACTCAGGCTTGAGCATAACTCTTCTGCCTCCTTCCGAGGGAGACAAATGTGCTGCTGTTGGGAAAACATGTTTTTTTTTTTTTCCATGAAAGGTTTTTCACCCAGGAGAGCAGTGAGAATCCACATGTGAACGTTAATGACATAGGAAATTAAAAGCCATAAATAGATTGAGAAATTAAATTTCATAAAAGTGCATTCACGGTACTGATGGCGTGAAACAAATGAGCAGACACACATTTGTGACTTGTCTGAAAGCGTCTCATCAGTGGGTGGGTATTTATGAAAGCATCTTTTAAAAAACTGATTCAAACAATTGTTTAAGTAAATAAAGGTAGGTTTGTGTGTCTGTCGATGGGGAAAGCATCCGTAGCTGGGGAGCGAGGGCTTTGCTTCTGCGTCACAGAGAGTCGTTTCCCATGTCTGGGGTCCTGGGCTGGTGCCTTGCAGGGCTGGGTTCTGCAAACACGGTTTCCAGCAGGTGCAAGAGCTGCATTAGGGCCGTGACTGCGACGTGGCCAAGAAGGGGAGCTGGGCCCCTTCTCAGTTCTCACGGGAGGCAGGCGGCCACAGAGGTCAGCCCGGCAGGCGCTCCTGCTCTTCTCCAGGGCCAGCTTCTTTGTGGCTCCGGGTTCTGCAGCTTCCCTGGGCTTCTCTGTCCTCAGTGCATACCTGCCCCAGGTTCGCTTCAGCCCCACCCCTGTGCTCCCCTCTCCGCTGGGAAGGTTTCTGCAGTCCGGCTCGGCGTGAAGGGATGAGATGCCCGAGCTCTTAGACATGTTCACTCTCAGCCTCGGGGGTACACTCTCCAGGATAAGTTAACGAAAGCGCAGAAAGCCCTGCCAGCCAGTGCCTGCGCTGGGGCTCACCACCTCTAGATGGCACTCTTAGAGCGGGCACTGAACCACCGCGTGCCCGTCGGCATGGCCAGACCAGACCCATCTTTCTGTCGCAGACACGTTGCTTAGTGAATGGAAGATTATTGAGGGTGTTATGCTCGCCCCAGAGGCAAGGACAGGTCCGGCAAATTACTGTTTCCAGGAAATAGCAGGTCATTTTGAAGGCGATAATATAGCCTCTTAATCTTCACGTGATACACATTACAAGGAATAAAACATACCTTGTGAGAGGTTATGAGGCTCTTCTTATACCAGCGAAGCCATAAAAAGATGTGATCTATCCATGCATTAAGTTTGGGGTATGGATTTTAAATATTCTGTGTTTCAAAGAAGCACGTCAAACGCAGCAGGCTCCCTCATTTTTCAAAGCAGTAAATTACAGCTTTGGGACTTTTCCCATTAAATCCACCGGCGCTGCAGGGCTGTGGGGCGGGAGTGGGACTGGAGGACCCGGAGGAGCTTCGGGGTCTTCGGGGAGCTGTGCCCACCCAGCTGCCCTTGTCTGTCCTTGAGCATTTCTCAGTGGTTGCTCTGCCTCTTGATTTTTTAAAGGACTTTCTTACAATGGATGTTTGGGAGAGGAAGCTGCTGGTCGGCATGAGCAACCTCTATCATCTTCTGTTTTATAGTGAACAATGTGGTTCATTGGGAGGGGGCGTCTGTTTTTTATTGTAGTTGCCCCCTTGGATGTACAGTTAAATAAAGAAATGGAACAAAAGTGTACATATAACCATCTCTTTTTTTGGCATAAAGTAGTTGAAAATCCATTTAAACATCATTTAAGCATAAGATTATACTGGCATTTTAGCACAGACTTATGATGGTATTTTTAAACAAAGGGGGCATACAAACCAGGTACACTTAAGGGCTGTGTTAAAAGTGAAGGGAAGATGCAGCACCCCACTCGGCATGGATCCGGGATGCCGAGCACAGCGCGGTCCCTCTCCTGTGTCCTGTTCATCAGTCAGCCTTGCCCACCAGCTGCACTCGCTGAGCAGCTTTTATTTCACTCAGATGACGGCTTCTCTGGTACCCAGACGTCGTTTCTTTCACTGCTTTTAATGCATCACCCTAGAAAAGCACGTTGGGGTGGGGAACACAGCCGAGGGAGCACGGGGGTTAGTCCTGGCTCTCAGAGCCAGCCACCCAGGAGCCCTGGACAAGCCTCCATCCGTGTGCACCCAGGGTCCTCACTGTAGAGGGGACCCCGACAAGCCTGCATCCGTGTGCTCACTGCCCTCACTGTAGAGGGGACCCCAACAAGCCTGCATCCATCTGTGCTCACTGCCCTCACTGTAGAGGGGACCCCCAGTTCTCCAGCCGAGTGCCACCTGGGTGTCCTAGGAATGCCCCGAGTGGCCAGTTCCCTGGTAGCCTCGGGCCCCTCTGTGGTGACCTCACCTTCTGTCTCCTTCATGGGACATTCTGAAAGGCTCTTGGGATTTTTCAGTAGTTCTAAGGTTTCCTCCTCGGATCAGAGGTTTAGGATACTGGCCTTTGTGCTGTGGTTCTACTGGGGGCTCTGTTGGAGCCGGGGTGGGGGCTGGAACAGGTTGGGGGCCCAGCTCTGGTGGTTCTGGGGGCTCCGGGGGGGCGGCCCTGCCTGGGGGGTCCATGCTTCGGGCTAGCTCCTCAGGTCCTAACTGAGCCACAGAGAGCATTTAAAGAAACTGGTCAATGCCTGGGGACAGATGGCAACCACGAACCCAAAGGGTGAGAACAGGGAAGCAGGGGGCCCGTGGTCTCACCCGCAGCACCTGGAGGGTCAGCAGGCATTTATTAACCGGCAGAGCGCCAGGACCCTGGGGGCAGCAGGGTGAGAGGGGCTCAGGGCCCAGGGGTGAACCTCGGCGCTGGGCGAGGAAGGAGCACGGTGTCCGGAGGGCCGGTCCCCACAGGCGGGCACAGGCGGGCACAGGCGGGCCGGTCCCCACGGGCGGGTGCAGGCGGGCCGTGCTCGCTGCACTGGGTGGCCTGGAATGCGCGGACCGCTCCGCCCCGGCGGGACTCCAGTCAAGGCTGCCGCCTGGTGGCTTTTTTAGAGGCCTCAGCTCTTTCGTGCAACGTAAGAAAATGCACAGGTACATCAGTCCATGTTTTCCCTTCTAAAGATTAACAGAAGGAAAAAAATAAGGATGCTCAACCATTTCCCTGGCTCTGCTATTGTCACCTGCCTCAGTCTCTCACAGAAATGACCCATCCCGCCTGCACCCCAGGGTCTCACGCACTCCCCCCACTTCAGGACCCGGGGGCCCTGCTGCTCAGTGGTCACTGCCTGTGCTCCTGTTCACCACACATGTGCATCGAGCAAGAAAGCGGGGAGCTTTGCATTTTTTCCAGCACGCGTTCACCTCCTCGGCAGGAAGTTCCTGTGTTCAGTGCAGCAGCCGGCTGCCCTGTGAGGCCCCGGAGCCCGGCCAGCCCACATGCCCAGCTCCGTCTCTCCCAGCTCCAACTCCCCCAGCTCCATCTCCCCCAGCTCCGTCTCCCCCAGCTCCGTCTCCCCCAGCTCCGTCTCCCCCAGCTCCGTCTCCCCCAGCTCCGTCTCCCCCAGCTCCGTCTCCCCCAGCTCCATCTCCCCCAGCTCCATCTCCCCCAGCTCTGTCTCCCACATTCCCAGCTCCGTCTCCCCCAGCTCCTCGGCTCCTGCTGCCGGGGCCTCACATTCCATTCAGAAACTTCAGTAGCAGCACTTCTGGGTATTTGCAGGAGGAATTTTTTCCTACATTCTCCCTGTCTGCCACTTTTCTCAAATGGGCAGCCTCAGGGAGTATTTATATAAAGATAGCGTGCAAAGACGTGTTTTAATCAAGTCCAAGCCTTAAAGGGTGAGGCAGGGGGCGTGGGCCCCCTCCCACGCGGATCCTTACGTGGGGTGCGGCATTTGTGGCCGTCCAGTCAATCTTAGACGATGTTCTGGGCACAAACATGATTCCCTGTGCTGCTGTCTGCTGTGCGCTTTCTGTCTGGGACACAGCTCACAGGTGAGTGGTGGTTTCTGTAGGGAGATGATTTCTTAATTTATCAAGCATCATGCTCTTTACCTGAATGACTTCATTTGTTACTCAGTCTCCGTCTTGGTTACCTCTCTGTTGATGAATACCATCCTCGAAAGGCTCTTCTCTTCCCTGAAGCTGTGATGGATTCCAGAGAGAAGAATACCATTCTGTAAGGGGCAAATAAGGGGCCTTCCAGGTGGTTCAGTGGTAAAGAACCCGCCTGTATTGCAGGAGACACAGGTTCTGTCCCTGGGTCAGGAAGATCCCCTGGAAGAAAAATGACAATCCACTCCAGTATTTTGCCTGGGAAATCCCAGGGACAGAGGAGCCGGGTGGACTCCCGCCCAGCGGGTCACAGAAGAGTTGGACACGGCTGAACAACGGAACACACACGCAGGAGGGGCAGATGTCAGGGAGCGACCCGACTGTCTCACACGTGTGATCCCAGGCGGCTCAGTGGTAAAGGATCCGCCTGGTCATGCAGGAGACACAAGCCATGTGGGTTCGATCCCTGGGCTGGGAAGATCCCTTGGAGAAGGAAACGGCAACCCACTCCAGTATTGTAGCCTGGAGAATGCCATGAACATTCATGGAACACTCAGAGGAACCTGGGGAGCTGCAGTCCATGCGGTCACAAAGAGTCGGACACGACTTGGTGACTGAACATGCACACGTAGTCTACACCCCCTCTTCACGTCCTTCTGTGCCCTTACTTTGGTTCAGGCCCTCAATCCCTCTGACCAAGACCTCCCTGGCTTCCTCCGTGGGTCTGCATCCTCCCACTCCCCTTACCTGGCTACCGCCTGCGGCCCAATTCACCCTCTGAAAGCAAAGCGCTGACAAAGAGAAGGCTTCTGTTTCACCACTCAGCCATAAAAAGAATGAAATTTTGCCACTTGCAACAACATGGATGAACTTGGAGCATATTACACTACGTGAAATAAGTCAGAGAAAGACAGATACTGTATGATATCACTTATATGTGGAGTTTAAAATATACAACAAACTAGAAAACTCACAGATGTAGAGAACAACCTAGTGCTTACCAGTGGGGAGAGGGCATGGGAGAGGGGGCTAAAAGGTAGAGACTATTAGGTATAAAATAAGCTACAGGGATATACTCTACAACACACAATATACTCACTGTTTTGCAATAACTGTAGATGGAGCCTGGGCTTCCCAGGTTGCTCAGTGGTAAAGAATCAGCCTGCTGCTGCAAGAGATTCGGGTTCAAATCCCTGGGTTGGAGAAGATCACTGGGAGAAGAAAACGGCAACCCACTCCAGTACTCTTGCCTGGAGAATCCCATGGATCAGAGGAGCCTGGCAGGCTACAGTCCATGGGGTTGCAGAGTCAGATAGTACCAAGCGACTTAACACACACTCACACACACATACATACACAACGGAGTATAACCTTAAAAAACCGTGAATCACTATGGGGTACACATGCAATTTATATAATATTTTACATCAACTATTCTTCATTGAAGAAATGCAATCATACAAAAAAGAAACTTCTGTCTGAAAAACGTTAGGTGACTCCTTGTTACCTGTAGATCCCCAGACTGACTTTCATTAGATAGAATCCATCGTTTAGGCTGGTTTCGGGGAAGGTGATTTTTCCACAGACCAGAGCTGGGGGGGATGGTCTGGGGATGATTCAAGCAGATTACCTCTATTGAGCACTTCATTTCTGCCCTCAATGCAAACTCACAAGTTCCCAGGAGGCGTCTTTAAGTTTAGTTCATCATTTCCTCTGCAGGCTTAGGAGGCAGACTGCTCCGCTGTGCAGCTGCTCTGCCTGACGTGTTTCTGCTACAGACACTCACAGCGACACGCGTTCCCTGGACAGGCCTCCAGACGCACCATCCACAGCCAGGCAGGTCCTTGCTGGGCTGGGAGGGGCAGGTGGGTCCCTGGTCCCCTGAGCCTGATTCTCCAGTGCCCTCAACTCAGTCTGTGTTTACCTGCAGCCAAAGTTCCCTCTTGATTAAAAAGACATGAGTCATGTACACAACATGAGACAATAAAAGAAATCAAGGAGGTGGAGCCTACAGAAAACGACCCTTCTTAGGGAAAGAGTGCAGGGATGATCGGCTCTGGGCTTCCCCGGTGGCTCAGTGGTAAGAATCTGCCAGCAATGTAGGAGCCACAGGGGACACGGGTTCGATCCCTGGGTCAGGAAGATCCCCCCGAGGAGGGCATGGCAACTCATTCCAGTATTCTTGCCTGGAGAATCCCATGGACAGAAGAGCCTGGTGGGCTACAGACCATGGGGTCACAAAGAATCAGACATGACTGAAGCGATTTAGCACGCAAGCACGCACACACGATCAGCTGGATCCCACGATCAGCTGGCCTGGATCCCACTTCTTAGTTAGACGAGGGTCAGTGACCCCTCCCCTGGCCATGGGTTCCTGACTGTAAACTGGCTCTTGTGGGCATGGGAGCAGCTGGGAGAACTTCCTCACTGACCTGAGGGGTTTCTGAGGCTTCCTCGCAGGACTAGCCCTGCCTTGCAGCCTCCACCTGGCGCCGGCAGGCTCCCTGTCCTCTGACCCACCACCTCTCAGTCATGGACTGTGTGGCTCCGCTGCATAAATTTGGCTTCTTGAAGTTCTCTGTTCCTGATTTTAAGGGACTTTTAGCAACATCACTCCCCTCCCCCTTCACCTGGTAGACCACCTTTAGCTTGTTTGTAATTACACCACCAGGAAACACCACTAGGAACAGTTAGCCTCATCAGCTAGCAGTGCATACCTTCACATCATTTCTCTCATGCTTATGATCTTCTTTCTAAGATGCTGCTTTTTCCCTAAGTGATGAGAAGTTTGTCAGGTACGGGTGGATGGAATACCCAAGAGGTGGGAAGGGCCAGTGGAAAAGGAGAAATTCTGGCATGGGCTGAATATTCAGGAAATGCTCTTTTTGTATTAATTTGCTTTTAAACATAAAGCAACGTAATATCATTTTAAGTTTGCAACCATTTAGAGAGGTGGAATTTGCATGGTTTTTGGACCCTGTGCAGTTTTCTCTTGAAAAATAAGAAGTTGACAGGCAAAGGAAGTGATCTTAGATAAAACTAGAAACTTAAAATCAATTATAACACTTCTCCCATCATTGAAAGTACACTATAAAATGATGGCTTGAGTGAACATAGCTCTGGGAAGAATAACACAGTGGAAGAGTTAATAAATTTTTACGCAACCTGCATCCAACTGTGGGAAGTGGTCTTAAATTCCTGAAGGGGGACGAGTTGCTTCCACGTGGTGAGGGTTTGCCTTTTCCTAGGCATAACGAGAGCCGGAACCGGGCCACTTGTCAGTGTTGGCACCATACCTCCCCCCAAGGAGGGGTAGCACCCACCTCCTGCAGCGCTGGCGCCCCCCAAGCAGCAAGTTCTCCCAGCTTCTCCCCAGATCCGAGGGCTCATGGCTCCACCTCTGATGAGTCCTGGAGCGTCTCCTGGGTCGCACCTTTGGCGGGATGGCTGGAGATGCCCCTGCAGTGGTGCTGCAAGAGGTGGGTACCTTAGTTGTTGTGACTGGTGTGAGCAGCTGTTTCTCTCCAGTTGGAGTTGACCGCTTCTAGAGCCTTCTGAAGCACCGAGGTCTGCCTTCAATCTGTCTCCATCTCGTTGGCTGGTGGAGGGCCCGTCTTCCCGGTTTTCTGATTTCTGCTCTCAGCTGCTGTTAACTGTTTCAAGTGCCAGGTGTTGAGAGCTCAACAGCAACCACGCCCCTGGTTCGCTTTCATCACAATATGTGCTGATAATGAAAATGACCAAAGCCGCCCCGGCAGTCGCCTCGTCAAGCTGCAGGTACTGAAGTAAAGCACCTCTGTTCTCTCTGGCTTCCTCCCTCTGTTTGTGAAATCGAGGCAGCAACTCTTTGCAGGGTTGTTATAAGACTGAAGACAGCTTGCCCTGTTGACAGAGTGGACACGGGGCTGTGTGATGTTGAAATTAATAGCTTCTCCCCTCCGTCTTTGGTTCACAGAGATGTCACCCCTTGGGAATTTTCAGACTGCATCAACTTCAGACTTAACTAATATGTGATTTTGTTTCCTCTCCCTGAGTTCTGCTATTCGCATTTCTAAGAAATCGAGACTTAGCAGCGAGCTGACATTTTCTTAATCCAGTTTTCCAAGTCAGACACGGGAAAGGATGGTGCAGACACCGTGGTTTTGAGAGGGAGTGTGAGTTTTGTCTTTTTGAAAACGTTAGCCATTTTCACCCATGCCGTCATTGCCTATTTCAGAATGAGGAGGGGAGAAACTTTATTTATAGAGCATCCACCATGCTGGGCTGTGAAGGTAATGAAGAGACTGCTGTCTGTGGGACAATTTGTGCCAACTTTCTGCCAGCGATGGAGAGGGTGAAGGTATTGGGTGACGATTTTAGCAGGAACTTGCGCAACACAGCTCTGACGATCCACACACACCAGGCGTCCTGCTCGTCCTGACGGAATGTGGCTGTCAGCGCCCCTGCCCCACGGGTGTGCTCTTGTGCGGCTTTTGTGAACTCCACAGGCTATAAATACCCCGTCCAGGGCCGCCTCCGCCAGCGTGTCAGGACGCAGCCTCACAACTTTAGGAAATTCATCCTTGAAAAGTCAAATGTCTCTTTCTCCTATGTTGGCCTTTGCAACCCAGTATAATTCCTGCTCCTTAAAGTACTGTGTTGACAGATTGTTTAGCTGGTATAAAACATTTTCTTTACAATAATATTTAGTACTATTAATATTATTAAAATAATATTAAAATTAAATTTTATCCACGAAGCTTGTGTAGGGGAAAGAGGAGAAATCAGGAGAAAATAAGTGAGAAGTGTGTGTCTATGTGTTTGTGTGTGTGTGTATGTGTATATATATTTTGTGTGTCTGTGCCATTTTTAGCTTCAATGTTTTGTGTGAATCAAAAATTTCCTCTAGAGTTTATTATTTTTTATTATTTAAAAATAAAAGTATCCACCGTATATATAAACATGTCTATTTCTAAATAATTAATACATTTAATTAAAAATCTCATGGACTCTAATTTACCACAAATCTTACCTACTAAGCAAACAAAAATAAAATCACTTAATAAAAACAGTTAATGATCATGCTGTTAATATTCTGCTATAAATTTACTGGAAAATATTTATCTCTAAACTCTTGTGGAGAGTGAGTTAAATATCAGTGTGGGTCTGTCTTTGCTCTCTCTTCAGTCTTAGATAATCTATTTGATAATATCTTTCAAATATACAGTGTTTATGTAATAGAGGTGACTTTTAGGCACCTTTGAATAGATGAGAAACTAGGTTTTCAACAACTTGGAGAGGGTGTGGGGAAAAAGGCAGCCCTGTGCACTATTGATGGGAATGCACACTGCTTCGGCCTTCATGCCTTTTATATGAAGAATTTAAAGACACATTACATGTCGACCCTACATTTGCTTTATATTTATGGACTCATTTATATTTCTAATATTTTATTTATGTAGCATTTATTTTATAGAGTATACATGTTGCTAATGCTCTGCATTTTAAACTATTGAAAGTTAACAAGTGCTCATTGCAAAGAAAAAATACTGGAAAGTGGTAAAAGGAAAATAACTCCTTGCTCATCTTTATTCCGGTTTCCTCTTGTGGTCAAACCAGGTCATCAGTGCCAAAAATCTGATTCATGTTCTTCTACATAGGTGTAGAGGACTAATAACATCATGAATTATTCTATCATCTATTTATGTATGTACCTATCTATCAACTATATAGATATCTATCACCTCTGTATTGATCTACCCTATTTATCCATCTTCTATCTGTTCATCCATCCATCTGGTCAATCTATCCCATTCCTCATTTCAGAACTGTTTATAGATAATTTACAAAAGAGTGTCCTTACAAATAACACAAAGTGATGGACAGTTAGGTCAGAGAGAAAATAAGAAGGAAATACTAAGATAAAAACAGAAATGCACAGAAATGCCTGTGGTGATGAGAACTTGCATAGTGATTAAATATGGCAAAAACTCATCTCTGAGCTCAGCAGCATCCAAAGACAACAGGGAAACTTGAGCAGAACTCAAGAAACACCGAAGCAATTTTGTGGGTGCCGAGTCCTTTGATGTTTGGGGAAAGATAACAGAAGGGAAAATAGCTTTCATCTTAAAAGGTTTAATGCATGTTTAATTCAATTTAAAACAGCACACAATAAAACCACCAATCAACCTATGTGCCCAGCACAGTACTTTAATATCTCATTGCAAAAATAGCCTATAAATATGAAGAGAAGTGGTATTGTTGAAATGTGAAAAAACGGTTTTGAGAGTTAATTCATGGTTGTTTCTGCAGATAAGAGACGTGACGCTGCTCAGATCTGGCTGGAATTACGGCCCACGGATCACGGATGTGATTTGTGTGGCTGTAGCCTGCCCTCCTATGAATCTTAGGGTGTGGTGTTTCCTGAAGCCTCTCGCAGCTCCAGGCGCAGACAGTGAGCATAAATCTCAGAGGAGTAGCTACTCTTAAGCAGGCTGAGTGTGATGGAGGAGAAGCCGATGCATATTCATGACAGAAAGGAATAAATAAGAGGGGATGGTAAACATATGGACAAGAGCTGAGAGGGCAGCCAGTGTGCAGTGCAGGCAGCTATTAATAACTGCGTGGAGGGGCTCCTCGGCAGTGTACCTTAAATAGCACCGTTTCAGTAATGATCTATGTTTTCTCCGCTTTGTTTGCTTGTTTGTACTCTGAAAAATAGTGACTATTTTTTATTTAGCCTGAGGCTAAATACTTCCTGAAGGATGGACTAGGTGATGAATCATAACTAATCTTGATGACATTAAACCAGAGACACACAGTGTTTTTTGGAAATACATGCATGTAGATGGATTTTGTTGCTTTCTGAATGTTTAACGAAATCTTGTATGTGTAACAAAGTAATCTATTCATTGTATGGTAAACATATTTTCCTTTTAACACTGTTTCTTTAAACAGCCCTGCCTTTTCCCCCCTAGATTTCTGTCACTCACATGGGTATACGCAGTCAATTTTATACTGATTAGATTTATGTTGCATGTGCTGTTTACTTTCATGCGTGTTTTGCTTGCCTTTTCTCTCCACCTCTAACCCCTAAATCCACTGGTGTTCAGGGGGCAAGGATGGGGTTTGTCTGTAATGTCTAAATGCTTTCCGCAGCAGCCAGGCAGGGGTTTATCCTGTAAGTCAGATGTCACAGAGGCAGCCCCGAGGGTCCTGGGGGACACTGGCCCCGGGTGGCGGGGCCTGGGGTGCGTGCCATGAGGACAGCAGGATTAAAGCTCAAGCCCCTCTGATGCCCACAGACCAGGGCTGGGCTGCTGCACCATGGTGCTCCCAGAAGTGAGGCTGGTGGGATGCTTACTAAACTCTGACCTGGTTAAATAATGTGAAATCAGCTAAAGTTGAGAGAGAGGTTTGGTCTTGTTTATATAGAGCCTTTCTGGGTTTTAGACCTTACCAGTGAAGGTTTCCAAAAAGCTCTATGTGGCTGGGAGAAAGGGAAACCCAGGAGTGATGTGTGACAGCCAAGATCACGACAAGGTTTCAGAGGTTTCCCAGTCCCCCATGGGAGGGTGGCTCTTTGGAAAACCCAGGACAGAGCCTGGTCCAACCCGACCCAGTGGCATCCCAGGCCCTGAAGGCCTCAGCAACCGCCCGCAGATAAACGAAAGCTCCTTGCACTTGACTCCAGCTCTCAGATCTGTGCTGAGAGCTTGCAAAACCGTTACAGCCCATTTTCCAGCTCACGCTGGTTTATTGTCACCTGCCCGGCTGTATTTCTTTGTATTATTTTAGATCCAGAATATATTAAGCCTGGTCTTCACTTGGGCAGTTAATAAAAGCACCACTGAATTGTGGCCGTGCACGGATGGTGGACTGGGGTGCTCCCCTCTTCCTTCTTGTCGTGACTCTGGGTCTTCCCTGGCTTCCACGGGCTCCGGGGTCTTCTGGTTCCAGGTAATGCTTGTTTGGAGGCTCCAAGGCCAGACCCACTGGAGCCACTTCCCCTAAGATGGTTCGTGGAGCCGGGAAGGGGGTTTGTGGTGACCTTGGGGTTACTGACTGGTATGAAATGCACTGTTTCCATGTTGGTGGGAATGGCTAGGTACAGATGTCATAAACCAGTAAAGCAGCAGTGTAAACACAACTAAGGAAACCTAAGAAAAATACCAACATCAATAATACAACAGTATTCAACACTGTTTTCAAAAATAAAATTTACAAACAGAACATAGGTTTTTCCCGACAATGAGGCTCACATTTTCTCCATGAAGAGGGATGTGCCGATGGTCAGAGACACGAGCTTCTCCTCCGTCGGGTCGTGCACCTGCCTGAGTGTCGGCCGGGTCCCAGCCTCCCTGCCTCCTCACTGCGTTAATGGCATGTCTTGCAGGATGAACATCCACTGGCAATTTCAGCAGGTGTGACCTCAATTTCTGAGCAGTCATGTCTGTTTCGGAGGTGAGCCCCATTGCCAATTCCGCACGACAGTTCTGAGGCACGGGGCAGCGGTCCAGCCCTGGGGTTTCTGGCTTCTTGGAAACGTGGAAATCACTTTGTCAATCAGGCTGTCTTTATCCTTCACAAAATGGGGCCATGACACCATCACATTTCCCCAGGGAGGCAGGAGGATAATCCTGCACCTTGCGCCACACGCCTGCACATG